AGGAAAAAAAAGGAATCTAGGTGTAGTCTTGCAAAAAGTAACCTTGCAAGATCCCCAGTCTTTGCTGCAGGCTGGTATTACTTTTGACACGACATTCAAGTTTAACTTAAATAAATTAATCAGCCCACCAACATTAATACTAACAGACAACCCTTCCTTCAGCCCTCCCTCTGAACCTCTGTCCATCCCACCCCCTCATCTAAACAAACAGACACCAGTATGTATATTTCTCACGAGAACTCGATGTTGTCCGTCACAGGACTCTTTCAGCTGTTGGCTTCGTGATTTGTGTCCTTTCAGGCCTGTGAGGGGGTCAGGAAGGGGAAGAGAAGATACGAGTGGGTGGGGTGGTCGTAAAGAGAATCGGCGGTCAGATATACATTCTCCCGTCTGAGAGAAGCAATGGCTCGTCTGTGTCTGTGTCGGTGGTGGGCTGTGTACACACTTGGCGAGAATGTGGCATTTTCAAGCATTATTGTGAATCTGTCTCATGTTTTCTTTAGAACACTGTGTACTTGTTAAAGTTAGCAACCTTGTGTTCTTGTTTCCTTGGATTTTGGCTACATATTCAGTCATCTCTGCGTGCGAAATAAATCACTGCTAAATACTGACTGTCCTGAAAGCTTAGAAGTGTGATAGACCTTTGGAGGAGCTTAAAGTTTCGTACCAGATGGGGATTCGAGGCAGTGTCTAAGGAGGTGAGGGGGTCACATATTTCCCAGAGAGAGACCCGAGTCTAGGCTTCACAGTCAGGCTTAGAGTGGAAAGCAAAGGGCAGAGGTCCTGCTCCATTTTTCCTGAATCTCTCACTTTACCCCCTTTTCATGTTCCCAGCCCTGATAGGACTGGATGGAGAGAGATTAGACTGTTGGTTCCACTTAGTTCTCATATGATCTCAGCTAATATTTGTCAAGCTTGATGTTGTCAGAGGTTGTCAGCGTCAAGCGGGGGAGTCGCTACAGGAAGCGGCGAAGGGCCTGGAAAGGGAATGAAGCCAATTCCAGTGGAAGGGAGTCAAGGGGACGACATGAATGCAAATGTGTACATTGCTCCTGGAAACTGGCGCCATTAAACACAGTAACACAAACAAAATCAAAAGATCACCACCTCTCGCGAGCTAAATAGCCGCGATCAAGAGGCGTGTTCACGTAAATACAAAGTGTCATCTCCATAAGCGCTATCTGGTTCAACCTGTCCGCCTCCTCAGCAGCTGGGTAAGAGGGCACAGATAGGCCTGTCTGACGCCGGCGACACACATTATTCATAAATCCTTCACTGCGGGGCAGATATACCCGCAAGTGGTGATGCAAGACACATCAGGAGGAGGAAGGAGAAGGACGGCTGGGGAGTTTGATGGCTTCCTCGTCCACCCCTGCCGGTAGTGCGCGGGCCCACGTCGTCAGAGCCCATGACACTGATTAATGAGAAAGCTGTCTCATCACTATAGCATCAGGGTAATAGACTACATGGAGAGTCAGTGGAGGGAGACTCTGCAGGGTAAAGTGCACGCCCTGGCCTTCTATCAGGGTGGAAACAGGAATTCTGTGATTTATGCAGTTTTATATCATTAAACACTTGTTGGTATTTTCAGTCTCGTAAAGTATACTTCTATACGAATGCCATGGCGATAAAAAGCAGTGGTCTTTTGGCTTGTAAAGGAAGTGGCCTGCATTCACATTTCAAGCAAATGTGGCCCATATTCGATTTTGTTTTGCTCTCATGTGACACTGAAATGGACTTTTTTCCAATCAGATCTAGGCAACATTCAAATGTGGCCCTAAATCCGATGTCTGACCACTGGCCTTGCGACCGCTGTGAGAACGTTCGTATCTGAATCTAGTGTTTTAGCAATACCTCCATGGTTTTTCCACGTCATGCTTCACTGCACTGGAACGACAGAAGGCTGCTGTAGCCATAACACCGCTGAGGTAGGCTGACCCAGTCTCCAGCCAGTACAGCCCAACTGCCAGACACCTTCTGATGGAGACAGCTTACCTACATGCCTTGAAGCACCAACAGAGATATCTGAAAGTAGCCTTGGACATCCCCACCAATCCTGCCTCCTCTCCCAACCACGCCCACACTTCTCTCTCCACAGAGCGACCTGCAACAGCTGCTAACAGAGCTACTACTATATGGCTTTTGCCTTCCTTCACCTTCTCTCCGTCAACTTCAACATGTGACGAATTGTCATCTGACCTCTGCAGCAAATCATTCCAGAGCTGAACACTTGCACCGCTATGTCATTCATTTTTTTTCCCCAAATGAATGTTTTATTCTCACATATGTGTGACGCTATTGGTTGCATGCATGGGTGTAGATTTCTGGATGGGACACAGGGGACATAATATTTAGAACATGTGCATTTGTCCACCCCCAGTAAAAACATGACAGTAGCACAAGACGTTTATCTTTAATTTGAAGCATATTAAAGACATTTACAGCATAAATTGATGCAGAAAATACAGAGTTTGGTGCTCAAAATGCTCTTTGTCCCTACAATGTTAAACAAAAGCTGTGCCCTTGGTTACACGTGAGGCATTTGTGAACAGTCGAGGCAGGAAAATCATATCTGGGGAACGTAGCCTTAGAGAGTCCGAAAAAAAAAAGATGTTTTGAGCTTTTGAGTCTCTTACTTACTCATCATGTGACCCCTCAGATGAATCTTACAACACGGTGAGTTTATAATGATGTCGGCAGTCTGTTCTAATGCACTGCTTGTACATTTTCCTGTGAAAAGTAATACATCAAATTTCGTACATATCCCACATAATCACGGGCCAGTACTTTGTGACTAATCCATGCATTTGGGAGGGCCGCGTTTACGTGGCCAACGCACTGATGGGAAAAAAAGTAGGAAGTGGACTTGTAAGGTGGCAGGTTGGGGCGGTGGATGGGTCACAAAACACAGGACTTTCACCAGGACACCGATGTTGAGAACCATGTGAACTTTGAGTCAACGTGTTTCTTTCCCTAAACACTACGTAACTTTACGTCAAGTACGTGACGCAATTTGTGGGATGCTAAATCTTAAGGACTTTGCACACTGAGTCCATTTTTTATATCCGAAATTGTCGAATGTTTAAAAATAAATACAACCTCACGTTGCGTCAATCACGTTTGCACACTGAGGCCACGTTTTTGTGCGTTTGTCGCATCCGTCAGAGTCTTCAGAGACGTTTGACCAAGAATCACTGACGAAAATGTCGAGACACAGAATCATTTCATAACTCAGATTGCCACGTTCAACAGGTCAGATAGTAATATTCAGGTGGATGATGATGAAGAGGAAGAGGATGTAGACGGCGAACAGAAGGTGGAGGACAGCTCCGCCCTTCATGCAGCTGCGGCGCCAAATGAAAGACAGGGAGGAAGTGGTGACTCCAGTTGAGAGAGGCAAAGGAAGAAATCTTTTCATTTTGTCACGTGTTGCGGTTTTTCCCAATGAATACAATAATAAAAAGCATCGGAATCAGTGTCGTCGCGATTTTTTTTCAGATGAAGGATTAAAAAAAACACATCCATAAAACAGACTCAGTGTGCAAAGGCCTGTGTATGAATTCTACATGATTATTTTTATAGGATTACAATAGTCAACTGTGCTGCTGTGACTTTATTACACTACATGTGATATTATTATTATCTTCGCATGACATCCTCACAGTGACACGGGACCAATCAGCGGGTTTACAGTCTACGATCAGCGAGTATTTCACTGTAACTCGTCTCCAGCGTCTAATGTGAAACAAGTTTGTCTCCAGCTGCTTCGTAATTTCATAACTTTTGTGATATTTGTCCAAACCCCTAAAATGCCTCCTATTATGACTCCACTAAATCTGTTTTTCACAACACCTCCCACACACACACACAAACACATTCAAACTTCATTATGTTTGCTCTATTCTTTTACACCATGAGTCACCACAAGTTAAGTGCAGCAATCCCAACATTCACTGTCAATTCCAACACTGATACAACACAGAATCAGAAGATGCATACAGCATGGTGAACATTTTTTCTGCTGGGGGAGAAAAAAGAGAAGAACATGATCCATCAACAACTAGGCGCTGTGAGCTGAGGGGACATAAGTGGGACATGCACTGTGGAGGAGGAGGGAAAAAACGCATGACCATGATGTCGGGATGAAAACCTCCCTTTGTCCCTGCTCTAGAAATTCCGGAGTTTAACTGAATTACTGCAAATCCAATTGAAACACACGGGATAGCAGTCATCCATGCATTCCTGTGTGTTCTCAAAAAGAGCCTCTGTGTGTCTGTGTGCATTTCTTTTTCCTGCAAATGCAAGTGTCCAAAGTGTGGAGAATAACATGCGCAAAAAAAACACGCCTAGTGGAGTTAAATCATGTGGCTGAGATCACTCCTGTCTTCCACCCCTAACCGATGGAGAGAGCACAGAGATCGGCTCCGTGCGCTCCCATGCCCGGCTGCACGCTCCCGAACCCGCCACTTCCAACCCAGCGAGACCCGGGGAAATTATAATGGGCGGCTGCCGCAAATCAAAGCAACTTCCCCTCCTGTGTTCCACGGAGCGAGCTGCTGGTGGAGGAAGAAGCCGATGCAGAGTCGACCTGCCCGGCTCCAACAATTCCACCGACATGCGGCGGATAATACGAGCTCCATAAAGACAAGGTTTTTATTCACGGCGGTGGCGTTAATTCCCCCATAATGGCGTTCATTTATCACCATCCTGTCTATAGCTGATAACAGCCCCCGGGCGCTCCTGCGATCCCCGTGCAAATTTATCGACGGATATTAATAACAACAAGCCATAACTAACACAATAACACACACATGCAGCCACGCCGGCTATTGCGCTAATTGTGACCCCGATTCCAGTCGCATATCCCAGTCAGCGGAGCAACGTTTCCACATCGGACAGCTGCTTTTCAGGACAGTAAAGATCACACACACACACACACACACACACATAAAAAACACAGACATCACGCGAAGAAGAGAAAGAGATGGAAAATAACTCACATTCTGTCTCCGGGAACAAGCAGGCGGCTCTCCACCATCATATCGGGCAGAAAATCCAGATTGTAGGATGAAGTCATGTTGCCTGCCTGCCCTGTGTATGTGTGTGCGCGTACAGTATCGTGGATGTGTGTGTGAATGTGTGTGTGTGTGTGTGTGTGTGTGTGTGTGTGCGCCTCCGCCGCTGTGCGCCCTGCCTGATAAATAAAAAGGAGCGTCGCTCGCTCTCGCCCAAACGGGAGACGGAGAGGGACAGGTGCAAGAGCCGAGGCCTCCCCAAAGGCAGTGTAGCCAGCCGCACACACACTCTGTCCGCATCCAGCAGTTGTCACATTCTCCTCCTCCTCTCCCCCATTCGCGTCTGCTGCCTTTTTCTCTTCCGCCGGTCCTGTCTGGAAATCCGCTCTGCAACAGCGCAACTGACGGACTGTTGGAGAGCCAGGTGCCGGAGCCGGGGAGGCGTGGCGCATAACGCTGCAGCTGATCTTTAACTGTTAGGGCTCCTCAGCCGGAGATGGCTCCAACCAGTGAGTGTCTCAGACCGTCAGGCGTCATGATGGACACGGATGTCCTCAGTCTACATTGCCTTAAATAGAAGGTGGTTTAAATTATGTATATTCACATGTTGGTATCTTCCAGCACAAGATATCCACTCACTCAAGACACACCCGTTAACCACTGGATATAATGAGCCACTGGCAGGTTAACCATTAAACACCTTTTCTCATCAGACAACCTGCTTCAACACATTTAACCATCTCCAGACACAATTAGTGCCAATTTCACAAGATTCTGGAGCGACTATTGATTTAACTGTCTATTGCCCACCAGAAATAAATGTTGGCATTGTATGTTTCTGCAAACCACAAATGTTACATTTGTACATTTCATACATATCGTATCGTTTCTAAAGTGACGTCAAATATGAGCTGACTTTGTCACCATGAGGCGGAGGGGATGGTGGATGGCGTGACACCTATGCAAGATGGCTGCCAAGCTGCTGACCAGCAAACAGGTTGGTTTTCTATGTGAACCATCGCTGTGTTTCCAGCATTTTTTTTTGCGACCTGCACCTGTTTTTCCAGTGGCTTTGCAGACCCCAAATTTGGGTGTTTTTTAGCGCCCCCTCACTGTGTTTCCAGCTGAATTTTTTGGCCACAAAACATGGGTACCTTTGGCAACCCGTCACAGTGTTTTCAACGGCTGTTTTTTAGCGACCCGTCGCTGTATTTACAGCAGATTTTTTTGACCCCTCAACATAGATGTTTTTTAGGGACGTGCGGCTGTTTCGTCTAGTGGCTTTGCAGCCCCCAAATGTGTTTTGTTTTTTAGGGACCCATGGCTGTTTTTGCAGCGACTTATTAGCCCTGAATATGGGTGTTTTCAGCAACTTGTCGCTGTGTTTCCAGCTGCTTTTTTTGACCCCCAAACATTGATGTTTTTTTAGGGATATGGGGCTGTTTTTCCAGTGGCTTTTCAGCCCCCAAACATAGTTTTTTTAAGGGACTGGTGGCTGCGTTTCCAGCAGAAATTTTTTGCCCCCAAATGTGGGTGTTTTTGGCAACCCTGCACTGTGTTTCCAGCCACTAAACATGGGTGTCTTTTTAGGCACTTAGGCTTTCAGCCCCCAAATGTGGGTGTGTTTTGGCAACCCATGGCTGGTTTTACAGCAGGTTATTGTCTTTGAACATGGGCATGTTTTTTGGAAACCTCTCACTCAGTTTCCAGCGCCTTTTTTGGGCCTCCAAACGTTGGTGATTTTTGCAACCTGTCACTGTGTTTCCAGCAAACGTAGGTCTTTTTTTAGGGACTTGTGGCTGTTTTTCCAGCAGCCTATTAGCCCCCAAACATGGATGTTTTTAACCACCCCTTACTTTGTTTCCAGCGGCTATTTTTTAGCCCCTAAACTTGGGTGTTTAATAGGGTCCCATGGTTGTTTTTCTCGTGGTTTATTAACTTCCATACATGGGTCGTCACTGCGTTTCCAGCGACTTCTTTTGGCCCCCAAAAGTAGCTGGTTTTTAGGAACCTGTGGCTGTTTTTCCAGCGGATTATTAGCTCTCTAATGTGGGTGTCTTTTAGTCAGCTGTCACTGTGTTTTAAGCCGATTTCCAGTCCACAAGTGGGGTTGATTTTAGGGACTCTCAGACATGGTTGTTTTTTACTGACCTGTTGCTGTTTTTCACTGGGTGATAGTGCCATAAAATGTGGTTGTTTCTTACTAAGACATAGCTGTGTTTTCTGCCAGGGATACTGCCATGAAAAGCAGTTATTCTAAATTCCAAAATATGATCTTTCCCTTGTTTTTTCTAGTAAACCTAACATGTTAACCACAGCTTTGTTGAAATGTAACATTTCAATGTATCCACTAAATGATAATGTACAAATGTAAAGCATCTATGTTTCACATTAAAATACAATGCCAACATTTTGTCTGATGACTGGGTTGCGATCTATCAATTATTCTCTTCGTTAATATATTGGTTGCTTATAAAATATCAGAAAATCGACATGGATGTCAATCAGTGTTCTCCAAAGCCCAATATGAAGTCCTCAAATATCTTGCTTTGTCCACAACCCACAAAGATATTAACTGTCATAGAGGAATAAAAAAACAACTGAAAATATTCACATTTAAGAAGCTGAGGTTGGAGAATTTTTTTTAATTTTTCTTAAAAAATATTCAAACCAGTTAACAGATTATCAAATTAGTCAGCAATTAATTCAAAAGTTGACAATGAATTGATAAAAACATTATGTGCTGCAGCTCTGAAACTGATATCTTTGTCATTAGACCTTAACAATTATAAAGTGTGCTACAAAAAGCACATTGTTCCTCAAACAAGATTTCCCTTACTAAAAAAATAACAGAAAGAAGTGATAACAAAGGACTGGGAATTAGGTACTGTTATTATTTAGCCATGAATCTTTGTTGCTAACGGTCTTACGTTGTTTATCTGTAACCCATTGCTGGTGCTGATTGTTGAGAACAGGGTGCTTAATAAGTATATTACTATATAGGAGAGAATCTGGACCATAAGTGATGCTGTAATGTGAAATATATACATATTTACATAGTGTATAGAATTTTGATTGATCTTGTTACTGTGCAGAAATTCTCATTTCAATGTGGCCACTGTGTTGAAGTAGCAAGCTGAGGGCTCTAACAAGAAATCACAGGGTTGCCTGACAAAAAAAAGTTGAACATGGCCCAATGCGTGCTGGCAATTAAATATGTGTGTGCAGAATTTTGATGACTGATAAATCTTCAAACCCATTATTACCTAAACTGGCCTTCCTGGATCACATTTTATTATCTCACTGATACCTGAAACGCTCCCACACCAGCGCATGATGGTTTTGTTAAACACAGGGCTGTTTTCAGCCTGACCGCCCCCTAAATACAATGCACAATCATGATTCAGAGCATATAAACTGCAGACTGTCAGAACAGAGCATCACACATGTGACTTAATAAAAGCACGGCCAGTTAGATGATTTACAATCAAATGAGTTGGCCAAATTTGGAGAGGTGCAATTACGCATGGGGATAGCCTAGTAATAATGAACCAGCCCATAATTTGCTGCAAAATTGCTGACTCTATTTTACGCTGCGTTAATTGTGTGGATCCAGCATGCTTCCCTGTGGAACCGGAGTGGGCTTGAATGCACCCCTGTGCAGCACGTCTACCAGGTTGCCCCATTTCCTCCCTCCTCCATAGGAGAAAAGAGGGGAGGCACTCCAGTAAAATAATGAGCCTCTCTTAGACTGAGAGAGGCGGCTCTCTGGGGGAAGAATATGAGTATCTGGGTCAATGGGAAAAAAAAATGTGCTCAGTATGCACACATACAGCGGGGTAAGTGTATGGCGTGGGTGGGACTTGGCACGCAGCTCTGCTCGGGGGTCAGTCCGCATGTTTGCTTGCAAGGAGCGAGGTCAGAGTATGGATGGGAAAGGCTGATCCTACATCAGTGCCTCAGGGCTCGCAGCGTCCTGCGAGTGGGGACGACGCTGCATGTTTCACCGTACTTGACCCCTCGCAGAACAGGGGTTGTCCAGGACATTATGCAGCATCATAATTGGCTGCGTTTCCATGTTCAGGTCTGAGATGATGCTCATGGCTGTTGTTTCAGAGGACGACCCATAACCTAACCCAACTTGTTCATGAACTGACAACAGCAGGACGCAAGGTAACAATGAAATAAGACAGCACAAGATTTCAGATATACCACCAGTCCTTTTGTCTAAGCAGCACATCCGTTATTTCCCTCTCATTGCATCCAACATGTTCAGGATATGCTCACAAAAACTACAACTCCTACAGAATCTAGGCATGCCAACGGGATATGGTTTTATTTGTAAGTGCAGATTTTTAAAAAATGAATCTCAGAGATGGAGGAGGTGAAGAGAATTCTGTTTGTGATGCTCACAGCATTTAAGATATACATTTAAATTTCAGCAGCCATATGTCCTTTATACCTGGGAAAATCCATAGACATCAATAGTCTTCATTGAAACGACTTTCGACTTAAGAAATAGTATGAAAACGTTGACCACAGGGAATATTTTTGGTGTCTGTCTATAGATCAATTTTGCCACTCTTCAGTTCAGCAGTAGTACATTAGCACTATGCTGTACCTCAAGACAGCTAATAAAGTATTCATGCTACACTGGTTAGCTAGCTGCTGCCGCTCTGTATCACCATGCATGTATTGAAAGAACTACACATAACACTGAATGCAGGGCCCCGTTCATTCCTATGAGAGTTGCTCAGTGACACATGGAGCCAAAATGGTTCAACTGCCACGTATAAAATTAACCAGATGATCCAGGGATTATCAGGACTACTTCCACACATAGATAATATGCACTAGAGACTTACGGCGACCAAGCGTGGCCAAGTGGCTAACTTCAGCCGGCCGAAGAACTAATTTCTGGTTTAGCGTACCGGTAGCTTGAAAGGGAATGCAATGATTTCGTCTTGCAGCTCTTCTAGACCTTCCAAATGTTTGATCCGACCAAAAGGATCGGATCCTGATAGTGGAACGAGTCTTTTTTCAGGGGTCGTGACGCTCAAAAAATGCATCCACTGATTTACAAGCGTCTCTTTCCCAATGTAAGTCTATGTGAACAAGTCTTTTTGGGCCGGGCAACCCGTGACAGACCCCAGAAACTGCAGTACCACTGTTCGGCCACTATAAAAATTGGTTTCAAAGCCTGGTGCACTCCCTGGGGGCCCCTGGACTGCGCACTACCTCAGGTGGGAGCTAGCTTCCGTTGCCGCTCATTCTCTCCGGTAACCCCCATAAGTATGTGGCTTAATT